AAAAACTTGATAAGAACATGAGCTAAACAAATTTTTATCATGGCATAAATACAATCAAAATCCATTAGTAAATTATCTTATGCATAAGGTACAACTAGTGAGAAAAAACAACTACCTAATAAGTAACATTTTTTGAGCTGCTAAAAAATTCAAATTGGTATAACTAATGTCAAATAACACCGTTTAAATACCCATTATGTTTCATATCAAAACAAAAATGGATACAACCTGACCTAGTTATTTTTGGAGGTCACGGGGAGATCAATAATTCGTTTCGCAAACCTACACCATAATTCGCGAATACAATAAGTCTCTAAATAAAATGCGTCACAGTCCTTAAATAATCAAATATTATCTAGAAAAAACTTAATATTTTTAACTTATTAAAAATTCTTGTTCAAAATATACATAAAGATATTTTAGGAATATCAGAAATATTATTTTTAATGAGGTTTTCATAAAAATTACAGTAAAATAGTTTATGAATATTAAATGTTACTATAAATAAAATTACTATTATATAAAACTACTTATTATATTGACTAATTATTTTGTATAATAAAATATAATACCAAATTTAATAAATATTTCTACTCATATTCTAAAACATTATAACGTAGTAGAAACGCTTTTGCATGACTTCTGAATGAATAAATTTTAAATCATGTAATGAAAGCACTTAGTATATTACTATGTTTATTCGATTTTTATATTTAATAAATACGTATGATTTATAACTACATTTCAAATAATTCAAAAAATCACTTCGTTGTAGCAACTATAAAAATCATAATTCTATTACAAAATATATTCTATATCATGTTTTTTAAACTATAAGAAATATTTGGTATAAACTATTAATAAACTAAATTTGAAGTTATTAATTTTTGACTTATTAAAATTAATTTAAAATTAAATTAAATTAAAACGGTCTTATTTATCATGAATAAATTAAAATTATCTTAAAGAGTAAAGTTTACAATATTTTTAAATTCTGAATAAAATGAAAAATATTTGGTTTTATAAAATGTTTTTGATATGAATACTGAATATAAATGGCCATGAAGTTGCATATGTAATTTTAAAGATATGTACATTTTTGACAGTTATTCTTTGAAAGGATATCAGCCAAATAGGTTTCATTTTGAATCAAATATGTTTGACACACTATACTGTAACGAAATGAGCAAAGCGAGAAAAGTTTATAATCAAAAGTAGTATAATGCATTATCAGTTATTGATAAAAAATATTATTAAATAATAATATATAAATAATTCAAATAACTATATTATGTATAAATTAAAGGGTGGTTGAATAATAGTGGACCTAAAAAGTAAAAGAAACTGTTATATTAAATGTTTGCTAGTATTAAAATTTCAATTGTGAGCAAATCACTTAAAACAAAAAAATTGAAGCATCTAAGCATGATGATAATAAAATATAAAAAGAATAAAAACTTGAAAAAAATAAATAAAAGAAAAAATTGTAAACAGAAAATAGTGAACTAAGGGATTTCAATCATTAAGTGGTATAGCAATAACACACTATAAATCAAGAAACAATATTTTAAACATACATTTTATAATTTTTTTAATACAAGTCCTTTTGCAGATACCTAACTATCTTTAAAATATAACACAAATAGGTGGCTTAAACTTAAAAAAATCTAATACTTATTATCTTATCTAATTTCATTCGTCTGAGTTTTGGTATCGATATTTACTCAATATTTGACTCATTAAAACGTTTAATTAATGTAAGTATTAATTAAATCCAATAGACCAGGGGTCTCCAAACTACGGCCCGCAGGCCGGATGCGGCCCTCGAATAAGTTTTCACCGGCCCGCCAAATAACGGAAAATATTCTAAAAATATATATACCTAGTTTTCATAGTCGTTATCGCGCGCACGAGCAATTATCAGCTGTATTAGCTGTAATTTATAAATTATATACGAAAATTAAATGTATTCATACATTTTAACCCGCTAAGAGCTTTTTTTATTTTATGTGGCCCTCGGATAAAAAAAGTTTGGAAACCCCTGCAATAAACCATAATAATTATGTTTATTAAAAAACAATCAAGAGAAACAATGTTTTTAATAGTATATATGTATGGCATAAAATTTTTAATTTTATTAAAAATTTGACATTCAAATATTATATTAATGTATATTAATAAATAATGGGTATTTTGTTTTCCATGTGTTAAAAAAAATAAATAAATGTTAACTTCGATCACAACACTAAATACCTATTATAAATACATGCAATTATTAACTCTAATAACGAAAATATATATCCACCTTAAATCTTATATTGTCACAACTATTTTAAGTTAAAATAGCTAACATTATTTGCTTGAATAACAGTAACTTGATTGCTTTTATACTGCATATTTATTATTTTTTTATATTATAAATGTACACGTTTAATAACTACCCATACAGTTATACATATATTTCAATTAATTTCAAAATAAATAATTAATTTATCACGGTGACTGCACACAGAGCACAGTATGTATAATTGTAATTTGTATTAACTTTCTATACCCGCTTTTAAATCATTTAACTTTTTTATATTCTACATTATTTACTAATAAAACTTTAAAAAAAAAAAAAATAACGACTTTATTTTTTAATATTTTATTGTAAAAAAATCATTGATCATAATATTTATGAATTTGACTGTGACTACAAATTTATAGCATAAAATGTACGAGTATAATTCTTTATTGATTGACAACACACATATAATACTAAAATGTACCAGAAATTTTAATCTCTAATTATTTTATTATTAATTATTATTAGAATTTGTGTAAATTATATAACTATATTTTAATGAAATATTATACTATTATGTACCAAGAAGATTATTTGACTAACACAAACCTACAAAATATAATAGTACAACTTGTATTTCTTTGCAATATAAGTATAATATAGAACCTTACTAAAATATATTAATTATTTATTAAATTAAGGCTGTTTTAAAATTAACTAAACATATTAAAACGTTATACCTATATGATACGTAATTTCTGAAAATTCGACTTTCATTTAGATCACAATTTTAAACTTGTCAATATATCAATTCGTATGCATACACGAATACAGCTTATTATACTTCAGGTAGCTAGTGTAAAATTATTGTTACCCGATTTAGTTGAACATCTATGCCCTGTGGCCTATATTAATAACTTTATTTTATAATATTTTTTTTCTTATTTTTACATTTTATTATTGTTTTTTTTAAGGTACTAATTAGTACTTATTTATACTTTAAATATTTTAATACTAATAAGTTGATAACAATTTAAATCCAATCTTGTATGATGTGTCTCATATTTATACCTACACTATTATAATTTAAGTTAACATGAATGCTGCACTTAAAACCTATGCCATAATATTATTATACGTTATCATTAACTTTTTTATTACAAATAAAATTTAAAATCTAGGATAATTTTAATTTTTTTTAAGCTAATGTTTTACATTTTAAATAAAAAGGATTTTTTCTTAACCTAAAAGTAGCTTAATCATACAAAGTAGCAGACACTTATAAACAAAATTAAATGAAAAATTAAACTTTTACTATAAAACAGATAATCTGTACCAACTACCAATAAACATAACAACTCTAAACTAAATTCTATTAAATTCAGAATACTCTAGATTTAAAACCAATAAAATATAATTATTAAATAATATCGTAAAAATCAATGTTTAATTCCAAAATAGAAATTATCTACCTATTTAAAACTTCAGATATTGAAACGACTAGAATAACAACAGTTTGATATTAAATAAGTTGTACTTACCTACAACCTTCTAATATTATCTATAAATTATTAAACAATATGTCAGTATAAGAGATACACACAAATTATTATTTAAAATCAATCACACATTTATTATGATCCTAAAATGTAATTAGATATTTTATATCCTAATTATATTATGAAATAATTTATTATAAATTGAAAAATATTAGTTTCAACATGGATTTATTGAGATTTATAAAAGTTAAGTTGTCAATAAGTAAATTGTAATATTGCTTATAATAAATACTACTATAAGGTTATAAAAATTTACAATTTTAGTAAGTAATAATTACGACTTGTTTAATATTCTACTTCAAGAAATAAAATATTTACGTAAATACACTATAAATGTATACATTTTAAACACGATCAAATAGTTTTAGCAGTGCTATATGTATACGTATAATAATAACAAAAATATCGTTTAAAATAAAATTAAAAGCACTTATAATTAATTATAAGTAAAATGTACAATCTACAGTCTGTACTTGGATTCTCCTAATATGGGATACGCAAAAACATTTAAATACTCAAATATTTAGTTAGATTTACAAAAAATTGGATTAATTGTCGCATTTTTGAAAACTATTCAAAGTATAAATTGTTTGCAGGATTAAATTTTTTTTCAAAAATATTCTAAATGTAATAAAAATTTTGGGAAACGTCATAAATAAATAAAAAAAAACATAAATATAATTTGAAAAAAAAATTTTAAGTGCTAAAAAAATTTGTGTATAATATAAATATTCAGTCATAAAATTTAGAGTCCTGATTTCGATCAAAACAAATTTCGTGACAAGTTTTAGCGCAGAAATTTCTTACAGATTTATAATTTTTAATAACATAATAATAATAATAATAATAATAAAACAGAAAACGATAGTACACCGTTATAATGATTTTTTTAACACTCAATATTCTCTACAATTATTTGTATACAGGCGAACCTATTAACGTAACGACTTTGAAAGGCCATTGGGAAAAGCACAATTCGACCAAATTTTTTTTTTTTTTTGTGACCTGGGCTAAAAATCACATTCATCTACTAATAATAATTGTACTGTTTTCTTAACTTTCGATACGATACAATATATTATATCTATAGACACCACGGCAGGTGGCAGTAATTATAAAATGGTAGTGATAATACGTGATAACAAGAAACACACCTGTTTTTGGGCTTCCAGCGTTTTTTGAAAACTCCCAGCATTTTTTTGGATCCGGCACGAAGACGGTTTGGACGGCAATAGTTTAATATACGGTTCACTTCATACCGCAACGTCCGAGGAAAACGCACAACGCACTTAACGAATGCGGCAAATACGGATAAAATGCAAAAAAAGACAAAAACGACGAAACGGGAAGACGCGCGTGACGACCGACGGAAAGCGGTTGACTGAAGACGGAAAACGCGGCACTCACATGACAGTGGACGCGATCCGCGAACCGCTGCGACGGGTGGAGGGAGAACAGCTGTTCAATCGACCGAGTGCGCGCTCGCTCGCTGGCTTATGTATTATGCGTTTGCGTGTGTGTAAGCGCCGTGTGTCTCGTGGAGGCGAACCGGCGTCGTACATGAAACAGGGAAAGGCAGAGGCGGCTATACACAGCTCTGTCTGCCCGTCCGCCGCGAGAGTGGGTTGATCACCGTCCGAAACACACATATACGAACACACACACACACACACACACGATCATCGGGCCAAAGGGTCACGCGAAAAGATCGGTCTCTTTCACGGGACGGGTGACGGGCGGCGATGGCGACGTTGGCCGGTCAAACGCGTTTTTGGCGGTCACGTCAATATATAAATACAGCATAATATTATTTTATGTTATAGAAAAGACTTTTTGTTGTGTGTAACTCATTTTGCTTTAGTGCCACCCTCCCCCCCCAACCAAAAAAACTATAAAATTATTACGATTCATACCGCACTCACTTATAGCCACTATCAGCTAACTATATTATAATATACTCAAAAGTTTCTCCTCCCCTAATACGACAAACATTATACACCCTAATATTGTACAGAATTATCATTGTGCGTACATATACTTACCACTCGGTATCAACGTGTCGACTATATTCTATATACGATGATACCTCAGGAGTGTCATTTTAGAAGGAGGGGATCAGGATGTACAGTTGCATCCTTTATTTTTAAAATAGTAATAATTGACCTGCGCCCTAATGAGATAATGTTTAAAATTAAATCTTGTTTAATGGTATTTTCATTGTTATATTAATGCGATAATTCCGTACATGCAACCTATATAAAGTATGGAAATAATTGAAAGCAGGATTATGTACATAATCCTTTTTTTGGGCTCATAATTTTTTAGCATCACATCTAATGGTAGACGTGAAATTTCAAAATACAAAACTTATTCCTTCACCTAGATATCGCGAGATACATATTTTAATGGAAAAAAAAAAAACAGTTTTTCGGAGCCTTTGGTTGTAAAATTTTCGAAAATCACATTAATAATTACATATAAAAGTAGAGTGACATGTCATAATACGTTCTAGCTTATTTCTAACAACTTTTTAATATTTGTAATATCCTACTACCTGAAAAATTGCATTAAATAATTTTTTTTTAAAAGAAACCATCCAAAAACAACGGTGGACCATTTTCGAAAAAAAATTTTCTTTTTTTTGTGCTTATTATTTTTCGGCATTACATTTAATGGTGGATATGGAGTTTCGAAATTCAAAACTTTTTCCTTCACCTAAATATCGTATGAAACTTTTTTTTTTTTTTTTAAACGGTTTTTCGGTACCTATTTTGTTGTAAAATTATCGAAAATTATATAAATAAGTACATGAAAAGGTAGAGCGACTTTTTACTTAACATTATAGCTTGTTTTCAACAAATTCACAAGCACCTTAGAGTCTAAAAGAGACGAATTCTTAGGTTTTTAACAAAAAAAATCAACAGGTAACTGTAGGCCGTAAGCAAAAAAAAATTATATATTTTTACTTTTTTTATGGCATGTCATCTTATGACATTAGGTACTATAATTATTGTTAATGATTGAATTTGAAATGTGCGATCAAAAGTATAAGTAGTATAACGTAAAATGTATTTTACAAATTAATGCTAGAACCTTTTTAACATATTTTTTACCATAAATTACCTGATTCTTTCGAGATATCTCAATCGAAAACGATATACCGATGTCCAATATCTAAAGTGATACTCATATAAAAATTGTAAACATTTTTTTGGGAGGATGTTTTTGTAAATACTTATTTTTTCCATTCATTAGTTCTTTAGACTAATATATTAATTGTAAACTTTCAATATTTAAGTATAATTTTAACAATAACTACTATGATGACTTTAATATTTTTTCTTATTCTGTATTTTAATCTAATTTTCTTTAAAAATATTAAAACCAAAACTGAAATCCAAATTCAAATAATTAAAGTTTAAAAACTTAACTGAAAACAGAATCAAAACATTTTAAAGGTTCTAAACTCAACTGGCTGCTATTTATTTATCATATAATGGCTATACTAGCAGAAGCCAATAATATTTATCTATAATACAAGAAAATAATATTCATTGTTAGCAAAATAAATTTTAAAAAGACATATAAAACGTAGGTACCAACTATAATTATCTAAATTTTGAAAGATGAAGACAGCGAACGCCTTAAAAAAAATTGTAGTTAGAAGATAAGTATTTTATCTCATTGTCTAGATGCCACCCCCTTCCAATAAATATGAATACCAATTTAATATTTCTATTCATGGGAAGATGTTTCCAAACACTTATTTTATAAATAAATTTACATATTACTTTCACGTGACTGTCACAAAATGAATAATGTTTTTTTTTTTTTTTTAAGAATAATATAATCATTATATTTCAAAACTACAATTAACTTGACACATTATTTTTGATTAATTAAGAATTATATTTATGACTACATAACAATCAAATTTAATGGCATAATCATGGTGTTTAAGTTAGATGCAAATGCTTAGTACATATTTTTATTGCATCAAAAGATATATGTTAAAAATTTAGAAAATATATTTATTATATATATTATATTATACTGAATGATTTAAAATGTATGTTATAGCCATTTTATTATATAACTGAATATTCAAAAATATTTAAAATAGAAAAAATGTATATTTTTTTTTTTTTATTGACAAATTATCTTTATATTTTATATATTTACAATATTTCCTTAAAAGTGAACATTTGTCCCAAGTCGTTTTGGGGATCAACTTAAAAAATTCCAAATGGAAACTTCTTCGGTTTTTGCAAATATAATTTGAAGACATCTATATACCATCTATATATTAGTGATTTAACAAAGTTAATTAATGTAATACGTATGTAGTATGCAAGTTTTTTAAAATTGTATTCCAACCACACGTTGTCAATTAGTTAAATAAATGGTAGCGTCTCTCTTTTCACATGTGCAGTTAAAATGCAATTATTTTTAATTATTTAAAAACTTAAAATCGCCTTCAAACAAAAAATTATGAAATAATTAATACTGTTCAATCAATATAATGTATTTAAAAAAACATCTTCATATTATGTTTACAAAACACAATGAATATTATTCCATTTGAGTAACTAAAGGTTACACCCAAATCTTCCCCCTTAAATATTATAAAAATATATAAAATGTTTAAATCATTTTAGACGTTTCTAAAACTATATAAAAAAATGTCTTACATTTTTCTTTATTTTTAATATTTATATGATAAAAAAGCTAAATATCTATATTGATTATTCTTATATACATATTCCTTGTATCAATAAAAAAAATATACAAAAACTTTGAGTAAATATTGATTTTGTATTCAGATCTCACTCTGAGTTCTCTTAGAATAATATTCATAATATAATATAAGTGTTTATAAATATATCAGATCAAAATTTTGTACAATTATGATTACTTTACGAAAAAAAAATAACGAAGCTATACGAGAATCTTTTACTAATAGTATCGATTGTTACAACGTAACATACTTTTATACTATATTATTATACTGAAATAATTAAAATTTTACAGCAAGACATATAGAAGCGGAGAACCCAGTTTTCAGGAGGCCGAGAAACGGGTGCTATGCGTTTCTAGAGCTTTTATACTAGGCGCCATGCTCGAAATTAATTACGATAAATGCCCGAAAAAAAACCACCCGGCGCGATGGTTTATAGCAGTAGTAGCAGAGGAAATAACGTAAAATGCTAATAATTACCCTTGTCACTACATATTTACAGGACGAACTGCCGTTTTTTTCTTAGCCAGCTACACGGAAAACCGGGAAACGCGAAGATTCACCCTGTATAACTTTATATGTATATGAATATGATGTTCGGATCTGCAGTTCAACTCACCCGGCTGGCGCCACATTAATTTTCTACTCTGGTTTGAAAATATATAACGTACATTCCGGTTTTCGTAGTAAACAAACCGCTGTTCTGTGCTGATAATATAGAAAGCACACAGCATATCACCTCAAATCGATATTTCGGTCGTTCTACACCGTGCTCACATACGCTATAATTATTTCTTTAAATCACCCAAAACAAATTTAAAAAAATCTATGTTGACAAGGATTGTAAGATGTTGTAGTGTTTGTACTTTACAGTTGGTTACGACCAAATATCTTTATCAAAAGTGATTTTTTTTAAATTATACAACTTTTTAGTTATTATTAGCTATATAATTTGCTTACTCACCGAATACTCGAACGATAAGTATATATTTACTTTTTCTATTTTTGAAAGGAATAATTGTATAAATAGTTATTAAATATCTATTTATCAGAGTCTATTTTATACAGACAATTATTGAGCAATATATTGAGATTTGTTCAAATAATCATATGAAGTGTTAATTTCTTAATTTAATGCTTATCTGATGTTTTTTAACATAAACAAAAATTACGAAATAGAAACAAATGTTTTAGTATATACCAAATATTACTAAAAATATTCTATTTTATTTCTATAAGAAACTATTGATTAATTATTAAACATATATTTTAGCGATTAAACAACCAAATAATACTAAGCTTGCTTTTTGTTATTAAAAATACAAAAATAAATTGACAACGATATTAAGAACCGCAAAAACTAATTATTTTCAAAATAACACACTTGAAATGTGATTAGAGAGATCACAGACATGAAAAACACAAAAAAGATGATATTAAAAAAATTTAAATAAACGATAGAATAATAAACACCAACGATAATTCTCTTTTAGTATCAAACACATTTAACAACTTTTTTACTAATTCAAGTAGAAATCTATCAAATTCTATTGAAAAATCAACATTGACGTATAAAGAAGAGGCTTTTTCAGTTTCTTTTAACTATTCTTTTACTGAAATAATTTATGAATCTGTTGTTCTAGTCCTCACTA